TTTTTGCGTATTTATTTATTTTTGAAGGAGAGAGAGACAGAGCATGAGCATGAGCAGGGCAGGGGCAGAGAGAGAGGGGAGACACAGAATCCGAAGCAGGTTCCAGGCTCTGAGCTGTCAGCACAGAACCCGATGTGGGCTCGAACTCACAGACCTCAAGAACATGACGTGCCGAAGTCGGACGCTTAACCGACTGAGCCACTCGGGTGTCCCTCAAATGTCATTTCTTGACTGGCTCTTATCCTCTGAAAGTTTTTCCAGATGGAAGAAAAAAGATGAGCAAAGCTGTCCCTACATCCACACACACCCTGATACTGACTGTTCACTTGGTTTCTATTTAAATCTGTTTGTAGGACTGTGGGAATCCTTAGCATCCACTTCCTCCTTTCTATCCTTGCCTCTGATCCCCCGCCATGGGATTCTCTGGTCTTATAGCTGTGAGAAGGGCCTGCAGATTCCAGGGCAGACTCTGCCCTCAGGGCCCCTGGAAGCTCGGGGCCTACCTAGGAACATGAATCTTGCCAGGGAGAAGCATCTTTGCAGCTGTCAGGTGACTTCTGTTAAGCCTCAGGGAGGTAATTTTCCCCTCACTTTTCGCTACTACAAAAGCATAGGGAGAATAAAAAGCCTTAATAAAAAGTCATCAGGGAGTCTGAGTGCTTTCAGAAGGACGTCATGTTTATGTGCCACTCAGATTGTGTGGAAGCACACACACAGACACACACACACACAAACCCAATGGTTCAGTAATGAGGGGGCATTTGTCAGCCAAAGGCATGTTTCTCTCTCTCTCTCTCTCTCTCTCTCTCTCTCTCTCTCTCTCTATCTCTCTCCCACTCACACACACACACACACACACTCAAAATAAAAATCAAACCTACCAGATACAAAAGCCCCTGAATTAAAGACAATTCTGGAAGTTCATTTTTGTTGCTTAAAACTCATTTTTCCAATGGAATCAATATTATATTTCACGAGAACTTGCTAAAGCCACTGCCATGGTTACAAGTAGAGGGTTGGGGGGATGTAGTTCACGAATCTGGCTTTATAAAACACATAATGAGGAGCCAGGTTTTTTGTACTAAGTAATTCTTCTTTGTGCAGCAGGATTCACCTTAAATTTCATTAACTAATGGCCTCTACAAAGCATTTTATATATGCATTTCAAAGAGTTGATTCATAGATTTTCAAGAGCAAGTCTCCAGGTGCACTCTGCCCACCTGAGCTTCAAGGCCAAGGTCACAATCATACTCTTGTATCTTGTATTGTGCTGACTTCTGCCTCCCCTTGACCCCTAATACTATACTGTGATATTTTTCTAATCATGTTTTCTTGGTTGGTTTATAGTATCTTGAACTTACTTTTTGGTTACATTGGTATTGCTTTTGTTTTTACACACTTTAGTGATGGCAGTTTGATATCCTTGGTTTCAAATTTAAGAGTTACTATTTTGTTGACACACTGATAAGCAAGCACACACAACAAAATACATCTGCCTGCTAGCCTTCCTTTGCTGCTGTTTTCTGGGGCAGAACTTAGGCTCCACACTTTTGGGGGTAGGAGGAGGAAGAGGTTGCTGACGAGAGCTGGAGCGATCTGATTTAATGCAGGTGTCATTTCTGCCAGAAAGATTTAGGAACACGTCATTAATTGAAGACAGAAAAGGTGAGGCACTTGTGAATATCTAAGAATGCAGGCAGGGAGGTCTGGAAGCCATCTGTAGCAGAGTAGTGTTAAAATGCAGAGTCCTGGGACACACATCACACCTGCTGACTCAGGATGCAGGCAGTTTAGCAAGCTCCCCAGGTGAGTCTGATACTCACTAAAATTTAAAACTTCTGGACAAAAGTATCTTTTCCACTATTTTCTACCCAATATAAACTTCTCTCTGAGATTTTCGAGATTTTTTACTTGAGAGCTTCCCAGGTCCTAAGCAAACTCCATGAGCTGGTGTGTTGAAAACCTAAGAAGCTAAGGACCCTGACTTCTTTGTGGATCACTTTCTTCTTCATTTGATGTTTCATGTCTTTTCTGGCTCAATGACCCATTGTTGTAGGTTATGAATTGGCACATGTTTTATATGCATTATTCCATTTAATCTTTGAGTCAACCCTTAGAAGATGGTACTATTATTTTTCCCATTTTACAGATGAGGAGACTCAGAGGCAAGTATCTTCCAGAATGTCAAGCAGCTATTAAGTGGTTAGAGCAGGATTTGAACCAAGGTTTGCCTGATGCAAATCTCATCCTTTTAGAGTATTATGCTCCTCCCTGTTAGCCTTTCTTAAAGATATACCTTTTGCTTACATTGCATTCAGTCAGTCCATCTTTCTACAAACCCTCAGCCAGCTTTTGGGGAGATGATGGTTGGTACAAATGCGCTCATCATGTTTTGTGGTCTAAGTAACAGACATTGGACCATATCAAACCTCTCAACAGGTATATTTCAATCCCTGGGAAAGTAGAAGCACTCCATCAAAATTCTGGAAATGCCTTTCGTGGAAAGCTACCCCAAGTGTCTTTCTGGTTGTTTCCTCCTCCCCCACGTAGTATCACTTACCATTGACAATAGAAGGCATGCCACCCACCTTTCTCATTGATGCTATGAATGATGGTTTTCCCTTCATTGTCTGTAGTTATTAGGAATGTAATAAGACATTCATTTTCTCCTTGCAGAGAACAGGGAACAGAACTATCCTTTGAAAAATCTGCAGATAAAGGAGTCATTCATTAGATTAAATGAGATTCCAAAAAAGATTATTTTTAAAGCAAAGTGGCATTGAGTTTTAATATGCAAATAGGAATTTTTGACATTGCAGAATAGGAATCAAAAGGACATAGGATTTTTCCCACCACTGAGGTTTTAGTTTCTACTCATGTTCCAGAAGAACAGTTCCAGGTGTGGTCAATCAGTACTGACCATCAAATGCACTTATCGAACTAATGGGAGCAGGATTTCAATAGAGTGAAAGTACTTGAAGGCAGGTATGCCTAGATGTTTTGGGAATAGAATGACCTTGATTGTGGCATTGAGAGGGCTGTATGTTCCTCTTGGCTGGAAGCATCTGGGAGGAAGCCTAGATTACATTTCAGAAAAAGACTGCACAGCCCAAACTGATACTGATACTTCTAAGGGGGCCTTTCCCACAGTCAAGTTGATGGTCATGTATTGTCACAACAGTAAATATACATTAATATCAGGAAATGGCCATTGAAGTCTTATGTGCTCAGGGACTAGTAGGATGAAAGTAAACCCCAGATTAAAAGGAACCCAGTTGACAGTTTGCCTACTATTCAGTATAACCCCCTTTTTTAGTTTAAAAAACAAACGTAATCCAGTTTTCTTCAAATCTTTTTCAAATAAACTCTTATTGAGCTTATTCAAGAGGCAGAAAATGAATGTCATACAGAAACTGAAAATATAGTAAAATGGTCAATCCAAGATGTTAGTACTATTTATCAGAAGTTTTAGAGGTTTGGAATCTATGCCAAAATTATGTAGCATTTTCCAAATTAAAAAAAAAAATCTTGCTTAAAATTCTCCTATCTTCTAAGTTGGAGACTTTGTAATGATATTGTTTTTGATACAAATGATACAAAAACTTTTTTCAGAAACCTGTAAATGGAACAAATGTTTTCTTTTAACCTAAAATTTTGACATATGATCCAATATTAGTGTATGATGACACAGTGAGTCAGAATATTGAAACTGGGACAGTCTCAGATAACCTTAGACATACTCTTGCTAGATCTATAACTTTTCCCATTAGCTTAAACATGAGCTTTAACAAAACAGAATCTACATGTGTTCCTCTGATTCTAACAAAGTAAATGATATGCTATTTTTTGTTCAACAATGCTGTAGCCACAGAAAGGAAGATATTAAGTTGGTTTTGCATTTAATTTATAAGATAAAAACCTCACGTCAGGGTCTATAAGAAGAATGCTCATATTATCTATGAAAAAAAGGAATGAGTAAAACATTTACCATTATTAATAAGATTTCAGATGATAAATTTAAGTGAAAAAATTGCTTTTGAATCCATTAGAGGCATCTATTTACATAAGAATATTAAGAAGTCGAATTATAAATCATTCTCATCTGGTCATTCCCAAATGTTTATGATCATGTAAATCACCTGGGATTTATTTATTGCATTTATTTCATGCAATAGCACTGCATATATAATTCATACTTTGGTCATTTTTAGATAACCTTTACCACATGTCCTCCTACCAAACCACTCCAATTAACTAGAATTCATGAAGTCTTGGAGAATATGCTTTTTCTTGTTAGAGTGTTTTTTTCTCCCCTTCCTCCTCTCCACCATGACTGTGCACAACCACTCTTCCTCCCAAGTTTACTTAACGGAACATTTTATTCTAAGGTAGAAAATATGTGGGTAGCTTATAATACTCCTTTCAGTAATATTAATCTTGCTCTTTTATTTTCTTTTAAATAGCTACACTGAAGCACAGGGAGGCTTAATTTACTTCACTAGGATTATTTAAGTTTTTAATGGAACTGTTAATATGACCTTTGCGTCATGACTCCCTTCTTGCTTTAATTACTTCACCACTCCTTTTCATGACTGTTATGACTAGATTTAGCCAGTTTTGTAGTGTTTGGGTATTAAAATGGTATTATTGAATGTGCAATGAAAGAGTCCAGCTTGGGCTGAAGATTTGCATAATTAGCTGTTAAGGTTTTCTTTTGTTGTTCATTAAGAAATGGACCTTTCTTTTTTACTCTTCTTTATTCAGTGCCAGCAGTGCTGCTCCAGAATAATACAATGAAAATAAGGTCTCGGGCAGTCCATGAAATTATACTTAGAAAAGGAAGAAATGTGAGAATGGGGGTGAGGAGGCCAGCATCCGGGAAGGTCCAGGAAGGATATAGAAATATAAACCATCTGTACTACTGAATTAAGACACCTATGTGTTTAGGACCTGTGCTTTGGGGCTGGGTCAGTAGTTCTCAGAGAAACAGTTTCCCAAGGAAAAAGAAAAGGGTTCTGTGGTCAAACAAGTTTGGGAATCCTTCCTTACTCCAATTCCTTCTATGCCTCTCCTGAAAATTCACAATGCATATTTAATATAATGTGCATAATTTTTCAGGAGTCGCAAAATAAACAAAAAGCTTAGCTCCCCATTTCCAAAATTTATATGACCGTGGATGCTATTTTCCATTCAACACTTTTAGAATTAGTGTTCTCATGGAACACACTTTGAGTAATAATGCTCTGAGTACCTTAATGTTGGGGTAGATTAAAAAGGGTCTTTCACTAAAATGGAATGAGTAAAGTTAAGCCACATGTCTTTAGAAATGCTCACACTTGGGGCGCCTGGGTGGCGCAGTCGGTTAAGCGTCCGAATTCAGCCAGGTCACGATCTCGCGGTCTGTGAGTTCGAGCCCCGCGTCGGGCTCTGGGCTGATAGCTCAGAGCCTGGAGCCTGTTTCCGATTCTGTGTTTCCCTCTCTCTCTGCACCTCCCCCGTTCATGCTCTGTCTCTCTTTGTCCCAAAAATAAATAAACGTTGAAAAAAAAAAAAATTAAAAAAAAAAAAAAAAGAAATGCTCACACTAGTCCCCACAGCAGAGCTGAGGAACGATGTATTTGGATTATAAAGTTTTGCTCTTCTACTTTACTCTCCATATCCTTGTCGGGAAAAGGTGGGGCTGAGAGAAGACCCTATGTGAGAGCAAATACATGATGATAATTTCAAGGTGATGTGATCAATGACATAACTGCATAAGTTGAAATAGAACTCATAAAAGTCTCATTAGAAAAGTGACTTTTACATTTTTATTTTTGTTTTTTATTTTAGAGAGAGAGCACATAAGCAGGGGAGGGGTAAAGGGGGGGAGAGAGAGAGAGAGAGAGAGAGAGAAAGAGAGAGAGAGAGAGAGAGAGAGAGAATCATAAGCAGGCTCCACACTTAGTGCAAAGCCTGACATGGGGCTTGATCCCACGACCCTGGGATCATGACCTGAGCCAAAATCTAGAATTGGATACTCAACAGACTGAGCCACCCAGGCACCCCAGAAAAGTAACTTTTTAATTCACAGGCTGACAAATATGTTTTTTCTCTTAAATTCAACAAGGTTAGTGCCTTAAATGGTATTAGAAATCCAGTTAATATTTTCAGTTTCTGAGTTACAAATAATTGTATTCCCCTATTTTGAAGATAATTTATCTAATTACACAAAAAGAATAATGCAAATATTTTAAATGCCACTTGAGGCCCAGTGTTCCTCTGAAATCCAAGAATTTATGATAATTACTTGAAAACTGTGTATTTAAATATAGCAACTCTGTTCATGACTTACATGTTTCCAAGGTTTATTCCTTTTTTCCCCTTAGCACATTAGATTTCCCATGCTGCTGGTGAATGGTGTTCTAGTAATTTGCAGGACATTTTTCTGCAATTTTTAGCCATTTCTTAGAAACACTTGCTAAATATCTCAACTGTTTGCTGTGAAATGAAGCCCGGGGATATGCTTTGACTTTGAACTAGTTACTGATGTGGATGGTCCACAAATGTTACTTTCCTCAGTGCTTTTACTGCATCCTGCTTTCAGTATTAGTGTAAGGTACACACCATCTTGTCCAATTTATGGCTATTCGGCATATTTATCTTTAGTCACCAGAAAAGAACAGAAGAGGAGTTTTATGAGCAGTAATCATGCTCCTCCGTGCAGGCATATTCAACTGTGCACAGTCAGAAATCTCAATTTTGAAACAATGTAGGTAATTTTTAAAACAATAAATGCCACTAACTTATTCCTCTTTGGAAATGAATTAATTTCTTTATTTCTGTCTCTTCAAGATATGTATCCTAGAGTGTCATAAATTGTCTTGATTATTGCACTTCGCCTGAGATACATCTTGGTCACTGCTCTCATGTGTGTAGGGCAGCGAGCGGTTCTGCCTGAGCAAGATGGGAATGCAGAGAGCTTGGGATGATGGAAAAACTAATCCCCCTAGATTGGCCCTTCAGGAAGAGTCAGGCATCTTCTTTACAAATTATTTGTTTAAATGGCCTTGCCAGCTAAAATACAACCTATTTAAGTATTTGAGATGACATTTTGCCTTTAAAAAGAATCTTATTTTAAATAATTAAATTTTAAAATGACAGGTGAAAGCAAGAGCAGAATTTGCTTAGCACTTAAAGATAACAGGCCCTTCTTGTTTTGGGGGAGTGAGGCAACAGGGAATTAAGGGTGGCCATGTAACACTCATGTTCAGAAAGCACAGAGAAGGGATGGAGGAATAAACGGCTACTAACCAGAAACTGCCTTGTGCCTGAGGCTTGCTCTCAGGAAACCCATATCATACTTTGCCTTGTCCAGTCTTCAAATAGGGCAATCAGATGATAGAGGATGATTTCAGGTTAAGAGATTAACATTTAGCTGTTTTTCAAATTTTCTTCTTTTCTAATTAAAAACATAGCATTCTGGAATTCTCTGCAGTTGTTTTTTGTGAAGCAGAGGTGAATTTGCCAACAGAGCTGAAGCCAAATAGAATAGCTATGACTTTAAATTGCTTGTGTCCCAAGCCATCATGTTTTTAGCCTTACGGAATGCATTTACTCTTAAATCCTAATGTTGCTGGGGCGCCTCAGTGGCTCAGTCAGTTAAGCATCTGACTCTCAGTTTTGGTTCAGGTCATGATCTCACAGTTCGTGAGTTCCAGCCCCGTGTCAGGCTCTGCGCTGACAGTGCAGAGCCTCCTTGGGATGCTCTCTCTCCCTCTCTCTGCCTCTCCCGCTGTCTCTCAAAAAATAAATAAACTTAACAACAACAACAACAAAACTAGTGTTGAACTAATGCCCTGGTTCAAATGAGATTAGTTACTGAAAAGCACTTCACGGCGTTTCTGTTCTCAAAACCTATGCTAAGAAAAAGAAAGCAACTGGAGACAAGTACAACCTTCTGCTTCATTGATGGTCGCACCAACTAGTTTGCATTTGTCAGCACATTCTTCTCGGGCCTGGCCATTGGCAGACAGGTGACATTCAATGCAGCTCCTGTGAACATTATTCAGTAGAGTTTATCAGTTCATGTTGTTGGAAAACAGATATGTAGCTGGGTTATTGCTTTAATGGTTTAATGCTGTTACTATGGCTCATGACGTAGGAGTGTCTCATAAAGGATGTTGCTTTTTATTACTTTCAGAAAGATATTTGAGTGATGTTCAAGAGGAAACTGCTTTATTCTGATTCCATTTAGTAATCAGTATTTCCTGAACCAGGCTTGACAGTAGCTGTTATCCTCATTTATCTCTAATAATTGTTTCTGATTGGTTAAGTAGCAAACAAACAAACAAAGAAACAAACAAAAAAAAACCCAATAATAAGACACACTTATATTGGTGTTTGATTTAGGGTTGTTGTTTTTTTTTTTTTGGTGGTTGTTGTTCATTTTACATTTTCCTGGGAAAGGTTTATGCTGTTAAAATATGATTCATGACTAAACAAAGTTTTAATTTCTTAACAGAAATCATCTGTTTTGAGAAGAATTCTAAGAATTCATACATGTCATGAAAGGCTATTTCAAAGATTCACTTATCTGTAGCTATTTTGAATGAGTCTAAGCCTTATAGGCATATTTTCAAAAGCTGGGGTTACAGCTTGGGTCCCCATTAATGTGGGCTTTTTAATAAACGAACTGTACTTACAGAAAAGTGTATTTTCAAGAACATAGCTCAGGAATTAAGCTTCTCTAATGATGTCTCCACAGCAGAGTAAAACTCAGACTCTGAATTAATGTTGTGCTAAAAATCACTTTATAACCAGATTCTGTATGGAGTAATCCAAAACAGCCAAAGTTCTCTTACTATGGGCACTCATCATCCTGCCTCTCTCTCTTCCCCAGGCCATGCAAATGTATGCTCTTGTAAGTGCTGGAAACATTCCCCACAGCCGTGCCATCAGTGTTTCCCTCAGTATCAGCTGAAACTGCAGTGCCCTAGGCAAGCCTTCCCTGACTCCTGCCAGTTAGTTCTCTTACAGTGCAAACCTCTGAATTCCTTTGTAGGAAGGGCTAAGAAGCAGCAGTTTACGTGGGGGTGGGGAGAGAAGTCTTGTCTGGAAATTGCCTTTGCAATGCAAGTATATTGCATTTATCTAGGTTATATATTTACTTAGAGTGGCTTTGCAGGGGTCTGCTGGACATTGTGGAAACCCTTAAAACCTCTACCGTTTGTATGTCTCATTGATGTCTGCCCAAGCTAGGGTGGTAGGCCTGCCATATAGTGCCACAGTCCCCTCTATATCCCTTATTGTAACTGTCAGCTCAGATATCATTATAATTACTTTAAAAAATGTCTGTCTTTCCCACTAGATTCTTAGCACCTGGTATGGCAGGAACTATAACTGTTTCAGTCATCATTATGTGCCCTTGGTGAACAGTAGGTACTTAATATCTATTTGATAAACGAATGTATGAATGAATAAATGGAAGAATGGACACATCTCAAAGCTAATATAAACACTCAAAGCTAACATAAACACCAAGGAGATTACCTGATCCCTCAAATTCAAACTACCTGGTTTGTTAATTTCACATTCTATAAACCAGATTTAAATTAAATCATGTTTACTGAGAAGGTGAAGCAGATAAATAACGGGAGAAACATCCTGAAAGGACGTTTTACATTTAATTCTGTTCAACTAAGTCTAACTGTGTCCCCACACATCTCTTGGCATATGTCCAGGCACAGTGACAGAGAAGTTTTGACACCTGAACGGTGAGGAGTCACTGAGTGAATATTGATTTGCTTACTTAGTTTACACTGGAAATGCAAATGTTACCATGTTGGGTACGGAGTTAACGAAACTATGAACTGCTTAAGCAGTGTTCACTGTATAATAAATTATATTCTGCAGTGTCATCACACAGCCCATTTGGAGACTTGCTTTTTTTGACCTATAAATGTTGCCCCCACTACCCATGAAGAAGTTAGCTAGCAACCAAAGGAATAGATTTTTTTTTTTTACTGGAAAACAAAAACATGTCGTTGTTGTTGTTGTTGTTGTTCATCTGGTAAAAGAAAATACAAAACACAATAGCTGTGTAGAATGACAACCAGAGGGAGGTGCCAAAAGGCACGAGAGGTAAAGAAGAGGGAAGAAATGGAAAGCCAAGATCCTCTTTCTGCCTTTTTGCCTCCACGAGTCTATAGATAGGAATGAATCAGGAAGGTCAAGCTTTAAACTTCTAGATAAGAAAGAAGCTTGTCTGTTTCCCCTGAAAAGGTACTGAATGTGGATGTCCTCAGTCTACCTCCAGGGTATTCCTTCTGTGTGGCTGGTATTGTAAGTGAAAGGCCACCTGATGTTATCAGTGTGGGACATCAGCTCAGCTTCCCCAGGCTTGTTTCTAGCAGGAATGTGAGTGACACTGTGGTCCTGGATAATAAGCAGGACAAAGAAAGAGTCAAGTCCGACACTGACGTTCCAGGTTGACGATCACAGGGGCCCTGTGGGTCTGTGTATTTGGGCGGATGCTCGGAGAACAAACCCACCAAAAGCAATATGAGGTCCGAGTAAAGAGACCAAGGGAAGTTGAGACATTACCGTTTGGAGTTACAGGGATCGCCACAGGTAGGACAACGTTCACAGGTGGGTCCAGAGGCCCCCGGGTTCGTGCAAACACACTTGCCACAGATGCAGTCCCCTCGCCCGCTGCAGAGCACCCCGTCCTCCGAGACGCAGGCGTCGGTGCTGGTGGTGCAGTTACAGTATTCGCCCGCCCAGCCCGTCCTGCACACGCACTCGCCGCAGTCACAGTCGCCGTTATCTGTAAAACAAACACCAGGTGATGCTTAGGGCCCACGCCACTTCTGATTCTGGGGCCATCTTTTCTCTTTGCCTTTATTTATTTATTTGTTTTTCATTTTTTAATGTCTATTTTTGAGAGACAGAGAGACAGAGCGTGAGCAGGGGAGGGGCAGAGAGAGAGGGAGACACAGAATCCGAAGCAGGCTCCAGGCTCTGAACTGTCAGCACAGAGCCCGATCCAGGGCCCGAACCCATGAACCGTGAGATCATGACTTGAACGTAAGTCGGTCACTTAACAGGCTAAGC